GTTGGTGTTGACCTTTAAAGCCCTAAATGGCCTCGGCCCAGTATACCTGAAGGAGAGTCTCCACCCCCATCGTTCTGCCAGGACGCTGAGGTCCAGCACCGAGGGCCTTCTGGCGGTTCTCTCATTGCAAGAAGCAAAGCTACAAGGAACCAGGCAGAGGGCCTTCTTGGTGGTGGCACCCACCCTGTGGAACGCCCTCCCGCCAGATGTCAAAGAAATAAACAACTACCTGACATTCAGAAGACATCTTAAGGCAGCCCTGTTCAGGGAAGTTTTTAATGTGCGACATCTTAGTGTATTTTTGGTCTTTGTGGAAGCCGCCCAGAGTGGCTGGGGAAACCCAGCCAGATGGGCGGGGTACAAATAAATTATTATTATTATTATTATTATTATTATTATTATTATTATTATTAAGCTATAGCTTGTTTAGCTTCTATGTAAATCTGGCACTGTCCATGAGCCTAACTTCAAGATGGAAACTGTATGTCAATGAACCACTCTAAGTTGTACAGTCAGTAGCTGGTAGATTGTGCCTGTTACCCAGTGCATGGGCATGGCCTCAGCAGAGCTTCTCTGCACTCCCAGTTTAGTGCTTTAAAGTGAAGTCTCTAGTTCAGGAAGCATAATGCCCAACATGCCAGCTGTTGCATATTCTTTCCTTCTGCGAGCGGCACCAATTCTGCCGTGCAAACTAAAGTAGAACTAGCATGCTTTGCACCCAGGTGCTTGCTGTTACACCCAACTTCTGGCAACACAGGAGGCAAAGTCTGGGAATGAGTCAAAGTTGGGCGAGGAGAGTATGTGTGTTAAGGAAGAGAAAAATAAGGGCACCAGCATTCCCTTGAATTCATATAAAAGCTCCATTTCACCTGCAAGCTTTCACTAGTGTGGCCTAGTGCTGTCTAAGAAATTTGTAACCTTATTCTGGCTTGATGCTCCAGCTGAATCTCTGTTTGACATCCTTCCAGCTCCAGGTTCAGAAACCACTGCAGTTTCAACACTTGGATGAGCACAGCTTTGCGTTCCCCTCCAAAATCTCACTATACATTTCCAAGATTGACTAAGTGGTGTTTTTCCTGCCCTAGCAAATATCTAGAAGGGACCTTCAGGGTTATTTGAGTTCACCTTTGCAAGCTGAGAAGATATCTTTTATTGGGGCTACCTTTGCTTCAGACAGCATGCAAGCATCACACAAAAAAACTTTTAAAAAAAACAAAGAGCAAAGGAAAAGTAAACCATTTTTTGGAAAAATTTGAAAGCAAAATATATATTTTATGACTGAAACCCATGATCAGCCTTCTGGCAAAGATCAGATATTTAAGCTGCCTAAAGGCCATTTCTCGTTAAAACTGCTTGACATTTCTTTTACTCTAAACATGCAGGGGAAAGCAGTTATTGATATCTGTGCTGCTAGAAGAAAAATCGCAGCTATTTCCAGGAAATGCACAGTTTTACGTCTTTTTATGGTGCCCTGCTAGCAGAGAATTGGAATGTGATATGCAATTCATATTCTAAGCACAAAAGTGATTTGTTTGAAATTAAATTATGATTACCTGCATGACTCATATCATCTCTGCAGGGAAATATTAATTGCACAGACATGGGTTCCATCAGAAGAGAAAGGAATATTTTGACAATGCACGTTTTATTTCAGCAGCAGCATACCAGCATCCCTCTCCCCCACATACTTTTTCCCCCCAATAAAAGTTGGAAGGGAAAAAATCAGAAAAAGATCATGTCAGCACAATATTTCTGGTGATATACAATGCAATCTTGTGTTTCATAGCATTTTCAACACAGGAAATTGGTGTATTAAAAACAATCCAATTCACATTTCTTTCGCTTGAATCAGGACTTGTGGTTCCTTTGAATGGAAACAAGCTGTTTTTACACTAGCTTAAGATGTCCATGCTTGTTAATTGCTGACTCAGACAACATTCAGTGATAATGTCAATGCCCCATGCTAAAGTTTAGCAGCTAAAGCATAATTTAGACCAACCTGATCTCAGAATTCGTTGTCTAGGCACATTTTGTTTAGATTATTTCCTAATCATTCAAGCTATATTATTTGTAACTTGCTAATTGATTGAAACCTTAGCCAACTTCCCAAGAGCTGCAACATCTCAGTAATGTACAAATTAGAAGACCTAAAGTATGAAAGTCTATTTATCATGTCAACCCAACCATTCATTGGAACCTTGTTAACAAAACTCTAGATATTTGAAAAGACCAGGGATAAAATCCTTATCCCGACTTATGGGAAAAGCACTTCCATACGTCTAAGGCATCTGATAACTTCATTTTGGGGGACGGTACCCAAGTTACATGATGGATGGGTTTATAGCAACATATGGTAGACATTATAATGAGTTTAGATTATTGTAGCCCAATGGACGATAGATAGCAAGTGTTCTAATGTACTCAGTCTCCACCACCACAATTCCAGTTAAAGTGAAATGCCATGGAAGCAGTATCTGTATCCAATGGTGTGTTGGGGGTTTTTTTGAAAGGAAAATCACTGCATATTATTTGGAATAACATACAGAAGTTTCGCAGGTGGCTTGGCCACCCTCCACTTCTAAGTTTTGTGTGGAAGAGGCATTCATGTGTCCTTCACTGGTCTTGAAGTACACTGGGGAAGCCCAGCCAGATGGGCGGGGCATAAATAATAATATTATTATTATTATTATTATTATTATTATTATTTAGAGGGTGATCAAATCACACATATTCCGTGAGTAGTGCCTACATGTGAAATAGTACATAACACTGTCAGTTTCTTAGTACAGAAAGTATAGATCAGATGTGTAGAGATATTCCATATTCTAATTACCGGTAGTTCAAGAGTTAATTCAATTAGTTCTGGCAGCTTCTCTGTGTGAAAGAAACAAGCAGAAGGTTCATGATGTTTGGGCTGAGTACAGCTGCCTTAAACTGGTTCTCTTATCTCTTTCTGTCAAGGTCATGCTGACTATAGTAGTAAGGGCAGAAGGAGCCTGAGTTTCACTTTCTCTTTCTATCTTTGTTTCCTTTCTGGTGTGGTGTTCGGTACATCATGGGTTGGCAAACTAAGGCCCAGGAGCTGGATCCGGCCCAATCGCCTTCTAAATCCGGCCAGCAGACGGTCTGAGAATCAGTGTGATTTTACATGAGTAGAATGTGCATTTATTTAAAATGCATCTCTGGGTTATTTGTGGGGCATAGGAATTTGTTCATCCCCCCCCCCAAAAAAAAAAATATAGTCCGGCCCCCCACAAGGTCTGAGGGACAGTGGACCGGCCCCCTGCTGAAAATGTTTGCTGACCCCTGCTGTAGACAGTATGCTTAGTGTTGAGGTTTAGACTTATTATAAGTTCTTGTAAGTTTAAGTTAAGTCTGCGGCAACTGGATTTCTTATGGACAGTGCCAATCCTGAATGTGTTGGATTTGTGACCATTATGCTCATTTGCCTTCCTTAGCAGTCAAGCTCTGCTGGATGAAATACAATTGCCTCTGGTCTATTTTTTGGGAATCCTGCAACATGTTTAAGTTGTTCAATAGCACGTCAAAGCGCAAGTAGATAAATAGGTACCGCTCTGGTGGGAAGGTAAACGACGTTTCCGTGCGCTGCTCTGGTTTGCCAAAAGAGGCTTAGTCATGCTGGCCACATGACCCGGAAGCTGTACGCCGGCTGCCTCGGCCAATAAGGCGAGATGAGCGCCGCAACCCCAGAGTCGGCCACGACTGAACCTAATGGTCAGGGGCCCCTTTACCTTTACCTATACATTGGAGTTCTGCTCTGGATCACTATCGAGTAGAATTTCATGATAAACAAAGCCTGATATCACCTTGTGTCGCATGGCCTGCAAGGAAGGCCATCGCTGACCCAGCCTATCAGTATGCTGTTCCGCGATAAAAACTTGGCAGTCCTCCAGAAGCATGAACCATGTTTTGCATGGGGCCATACACAGCTTCTTCTAGCCCCCTAAGTAGGAGGTAAGGATTGTGACTCCTCATACTGTTTCTGCCACAATGATGTCAGAAGCAAAATGAAAAACAGCATAATACAGAACCAACGCGAGGTATGATTGCATTTGTGTGTGTGTGTGTGTGTGTGCGCGTGTGTGTATTTCTGGTGATGGTCAGAAATACACACACACACACACACACATAAACAAACAGGCAAACAACAGGCAAAACACTGACCCCCCCATACACACAACAAATAAAACAGATTTTTTTTTAAAAAGGCACCCCACAACCAAATAGCAACAAAAAAGGCCCCCGCAAAACCCTCATTTTAAAAACTGGGAAAGGCAGGTCTTGGCAAAGGGGGTGTATGAGGGCACTGTGTTGGAGACCTAAAGTCTAGCCTGATCCAACCAAGAGAATTCAAGGCACATGTGGGCCAACTCAGTGGCTTCTACCAAGTTCTTCAAAAGCAGCCAAGTATCTAAGGATAAGGAAGAGTTCAGAATGCTCGTCATAGTAGTACAGTACTAAAATGTAAATATCAGAAAAATGTAAATACACCACTACACACATTTTTTTGTATCTTAACATTTGGCTGCACTGATGAGTATCTGCATTAAGAGTACGAAATTTTAAGTGCGTGCATTTCAGCTGCACTTACAAAAGGACCCTGTCAAAACTTGTGAAAGTTTGCCCGTAATATTATTTAGGAAAACAAGAATACCCCGTTCCATGCGCATATGCACACATATGAAATGCAGAGTTGTGTTTTCATACAGATCTTATATGTCTATACGGAAATAGATCTGCTCTGTTCTTTACTTTCCAAGCCTTCACACAACCTATTGACATTGTTTTTATGTTAAAAAATAATAATCAAGTTGTGCTCTGATCAATTGATTTCTGAGCCTTCCCTCAATTTCCTCCATAAGCTTCATTCTATTTAACATTTCCATGTTGAGAACCCATAATAGTCGCAGTATTCGGATGGCAGCTTTTCACTGCAATCTCACATTGTTCTACAGAAGTTTCCTTTCAAATTTACTTACAGACATTTTGCCGTTGCGGTTGGCTTCCTCCCTCTCTGCCAGCGCCTTCAGAAAGTCGTCTTTCAGCTCTTTTCCTGCACTTGCCAGAGCTCTGGTAAGGGAAAGACAGAACACAATGTTTGTTTCCTGCTCTTTCTATCTTCTTCCTCATCTAAATAACCTTTAAACAAGAGTGAATAATAAAATAAAATAAAATTGAAAGAGCTCAGTCCAAGAGAAGATCCATCATTACCTTGACAATGTTCCAAACCAAGCTTAAATATTTCAAAAAGGACTGCAGATTTTTTAAATAGAAAAGTCTGAATTAATAAACACAACCCCAACACACTGTGTGCGGCAAGACTGAACTGAATAGCAGAGCCACCGCATCTAAAGCCATGATGCTTTTGTCAAACAGGGGCAGTATTTTTTTTGCTGTGTCAAGTCCAAGCAAATGCAGCAGAGAAGGCCGGATCAGGCCCATTACCAGCAACTGGACTGGTTTGGAACCCAGCAGATCCTTGTGGGCTTCCCATAGGCAACTAAAAGGTAAAAGGACCCCTGACCATTAGGTCCAGTCGTGGCCGACTCTGGGGTTGCGCACTCATCTCGCTTTATTGGCCGAGGGAGCTGGTATTCAGCTTCCAGGTCATGTGGCCAGCATGACTAAGCCGCTTCTGGCGAACCAGAGCAGCGCACAGAAACGCCGTTTACCTTCCCGCTGGAGAGGTACCTATTCATCTACTTGAACTTTGACGTGCTTTCGAAGTGCTAGGTTGGCAGGAGCAGGGACCAAGCAACGGGAGCTCACCCTGTCGTGGGGATTCGAATCGCCGACCTTCTGATCGGCAAGTCCTAGGCTCTGTGGTTTAACCCACAGTGCCACCCGCGTCCCGCTCATAGGCATCTAGTTGGCCATTAAGAACAGAATGCTGAACTAGATAGGACTTCCGTCTTATGTCACCATGATACGCATCCACCAGTCAATGGCAGTTGTACATACTATGTGGCAACCAGCTGAAGCACCTTTGTGATTAGACTGCAGGGATCAAAACAATTTATGTAGTCCCCAAAATGAGGGGTGATCTTGGTGTGTTTCCTGATAAGGTAGTTCCTTATGAAGATGCCATATAATTAAAGCAGATCCTCCTGTGCACTGTGCTGAATATAAATATCTAAAGCACAGCAGACCATATTATAATGCAGAAAAATAAACAGGGAACTCCAATAAATCCCGGTCTTCACAGCAGATAGAGAATGAGTTACATATTGCTTGCAATCAACTCAAATTTAAGTTCTGGCATGGACCACATTTTGTAGCCATGGACTGTTAGCATATTTCATCCAAACATTACTGTCCTATTACAAATTGGGTCCACTTCCGGGTGGGGCCAGGTTACGGCTGGGCCACCTAGCCTCCTCCCCCCTCAACATGGGGGCGGGACGGCGCCCCGCGTCCTGCTGGGAGAGACCCTGGCCCCCTCATTTAGCCAGGCGGCCAATCAGGTCGCTTGGGAGCGTGGCCAGGGCCGATTTATGCCGCGGCACGACTCTGAGGCTTCCCTTTCAGCCTTGCGCCACGGATCTCCTGCCCTCCCACCCTTTTTCCAAGTTGCATCTTTGGCCTTGTGATGGTCTTCGGTTTGTCGTCGTTGAGGGGCCTGGTAGGACTTTTTCCACTTGGCAAATTGGCACCAGCCACTTGGGTTTCGCCTACCTCATCACAACTTTGTAAGGTTTGGTGGTTAGGCGTTGGAATAGCATTGTGTGGGGGAGGGGAGGTGCGGCCATCACCTGCCCCTCCAAGATTAAGGTTATTCCGTTAAAGGAATCCGGGAGTGTGGATCTTGTCCAAAGCCCGGGGAGGGGCCAGGGCCATACCATGACCCTGACGGGAACCCAGGGGGTGCTTGAGTCGATCCGCATCAGCGGGGCTCCCCGTACTGGTGGTGTACCCTTACCAGACATTCTGCAAGGCAGGTAGGAGTCAGATATAGTCTGTTGAGGCCAATGCCTAAGTCAGGGGTCAGCAAGGCTTACCGGGCATGGACCGGATCACTCCCGCGGAGATCCTCCGTGAGCCGGGCCAGCATAGTGTGATGCCGGAAATTGCATCTGTGCATGTCCACAGCATCAGAAATCACTTCTGTGCATGCCCAGACACCGAAAATCTTGCCTGCGCAGAAGTGATTTCCAGCGTCTGAGCACACACAGAAGCGATTTCCAGTGCCACGGATATGCGCAGCCACGATTTCCAGTGTCTGAGCATGCATTGAAGCAATTTCCGGAGCCGCAGAAGATAGTCCCTGCGCTGCACTGTTAGCGCAGTGTGCAGGGACTCGCCAAGCGGGTGGCTCGGTTCGGGGGCTGCTCAGGGGCCGGTTAAATGGCCTCCCTAGGCCACTTCTGGCCCATCAGCCACAGGTTGGGGACCCCTGGCCTAAGCCAATACCGCTGACATTCTGTAACCAATAAAGTTGTGGCCTAACTTTTGCCCTTTAACATTAACCTAAAATTCTGTGTCCTTGTGTGGGGGTGGCTTGGGGGCCTTGACAGGCAAATATATGTGTGCATGCACCCACATCACATATCAATGCACACCAATGGTAATATACGACTGCCCTTCTTCATCAATTTTAATAAAAAGCTAACCCTCCAGAGAAAAGGGTGCCCCCATGCCCACAAGGAACAGTTGGATATACAGACGAATGCCTCGCAAGACGGAAAACCCGCTAGACGAAAGGGTTTTCCGTTTTTGAGTTGCTTCGCAAGACGAATTTCCCTATGGGCTTGCTTTGCAAGACGAAACGTCTTGATAGTCTTGCGATTTTTTTTTCGCTCCCCCCCTTTTTCTAAGCCGCTAAGCCGCTAATAGCCTTTTAGCAGCTAAGCCTTTAATAGCCGCTAAGCCGCTAATAGCGCTAATCCGCTAAGCCGCTAATAGACGAAAAAACCGCTAGATGAAGAGAATCGCGGAACGGATTCTTTTCGTCTTGCGAGGCACCACTGTATTTGTGTTGGGAATAGTCAGGCTTTGTACAGTCTTCCTATGCCCTCTCTGTTTTCCCAAGGAAGGGAGAAGTGGCAACTAGAAAAGGGAAAACGGTGAGAAGGGATTCTTTAGCCCCTGCTAGGCATTTCTCCTGTTTGACTAAGTTTACTTAACACTCAGTGACCTGAAAAAGCTTGTAAAAATAAATACCAAAAAGAAGTTATTTCCTCAAAAAGGAAAAAAAAGAAAAGAAAGGAAGCTAGAGTAATTTCTTTACAAAGGATTAGAGCTACACTTTACTTTACTGGCATGTAAACACTCAGTTATTCTATTGTTAACATATTCACGCAATTGCACCCTTTCGATGCAGTATAAGGGTGATGCAAAAAAAGGCAAGAGAAAAACTGAAAGCTGTGTTTAACGATTAACCAGCAAGTTATGCATGCTATTCCAATGTCACACATACAATCTAACAAGTAACAAGTAAAGGTCTTCCTGCAGCCCATTTCTTCAGTCTGTAGCAGGAACCCCCCCACCCCAATCATTCAGTTTGTACAAACTTCACACACACTCACACTCACACACTACATACGCCACACTTCTGTTATAAATTCATAGAAAAATCAACCATACATCAGATTTGCACTGTTCCATTTTTATTTTACTCCATATGACAAGGACTATCAAAGTGGGGTGGCTTGGTTCTGGTCAGCCATAATCCCTTCACCATACCAGCACATCCACAGGAGCCCTGCCCAGTTGCTATGCCAACCCTGATGATCCCAGACAGAAGACAATCAAGATCACAAAGAACTTGCATATGGGAGTGGATTCAGCATGGACTGGAACAAAGGACAATGATCAGATCTTCCCTCAGGGGGCAGGAAACTGCGACTACCTTTTGTTGTCAGAAAATGACTCATGGGGAGGGGGAAAGGAGGAACCAGCCAGGTGACAGGACACTCAGGTTACCACCACAACTTCTCCCTCAACCCCTCCTTTCTGTAATGTATGCATGATGTTTCTGGGGGTGGGCTTGAGCTACAGGAGGGGAATTTCAAAAGTTTTTATAAGACCTTGCACACCATATTTCTTGGTCTTTCCTCTCTCTTGCAAGTGAGGGGAACACCCTGTTGCAACAGTTCAATAAAGGCCAAGCCTACAGGCTGCTGATTTGCTCCAATTTACTCTGGTTGGTGTCTTTACTTTTTGTCCAAGGGAGCCCTCGGATTTTTCCAGTAACAAGTCCTTCCATTGCAGAATCTTCAATGTAATCTAATTTATTAGAAAGGGAATGTTCCACAGGGAGATCATTCTGCGCAAACCATATTGGAATGGGAATGAGAAGCTCAAGTTTTTTTTGCGAGTTTTTCTCGCAAGTTTTTTTTAATTTGTTGGAAACCGTCCAGAGTTTCCCAGAGTGCCCAGTCAGATGGGCAGCGCGCGCGCGCACACACACACACACACACACACACACACATATCTATAGACACACACACACACACACACATATATATATATCTGTAAGCAAAGACAGCCTGTCTATTAAAAGATGGATTGAATTTTCCTGGATACAAAGATGGCAAAAAAACAAACACACCCAAAGCTAAGTGTTATTGGCAAACTGTTGACATCGCAGACTCATGATGACAATCCCCACCAGAGGCTTCAATAAGATGACAATGAAACTGAGGCCAAATCAGGGCAAGCCCTTGTTGAAACTTGCCGCCCTCGTTCTGCGGAAATCATTGGTGCAAGTCATTAATTAATGGAACACCATTACAAAGTGCACATAAAATGGTGCCACCCATTAAACCGAAACACTCATTGCTACCCAGCCAGAAGCAGACTTCTGCGTTATGAGTATGTTCTTTGCAGCACTATTCTGTGTCTGATACTACTTCACTACATTGACTCTAAAACGCACGTCTGCAAAGCAACTGCTTGGGTTGCTTCTGGTGGCCCTCAGTTGCAAAATAAGAATTTACCAATGCAATTGCAATTCCCATTATCCTCACCGCATCCTGTATCAACTGCCAAGTATGAAAAGTCACTCCCTCCTGCAAAGTCATGCTCCCTGTGAGACAAAGGTCCATACAGGAAAGTGGAAAGGCCTCCCT